AATATTTATTTCAAAATTTGCCTTATAGCAGAATAGTGATCTATCTCTTGAGAGAATAATGCCATTTTGCTAAAGGTAGGTGATACCCAACAACCGGATAGGTTATTTGTTATGAATGTTGATATTTGGTTTACTCAAGGCTGAAATTGAAGTTGTAAAATCAATTTAACGCAATCTGTGATCAAAATAATTTGTTTTATATATAATTTTCTGTTGAGCATAAAAATGAATTCTTCCGGTATCTCTGACATTGAATATCAGCGCGTTAACAAAGCAAACTCTAAAAACTGTAGAGATTTTGATTCTTCCTATGTTCTCGCTTAAAACCAGCGATCTGGTTGTCTCGTCTATGTTTAATAAACATTCTTAAGCCATCAACACGCACCATGACAGGCTATTTTCAAGAACAACCATCTGTTTCAAATACGTCAGGATCAGCGGAAAGGAAGACGAACAGGAAGCCTAAGAAATATAAGGGTTCATTAAGACATGTTTTCTATAAGAGTCGTAGATGGGAAAAAATTTTAAGGATTTACGGTTCTTAAAACGACAGCATAACTGCGTAAACTACTTACACAGTTGTAAATTTAATGAAGGAGTTATGGATATTACTGCATAATTTTGATGTAGTAAGCAGTTTACAAAAAAAAAAAACGATCTACAGATAATCATTTGACCACGATCATATGCAAACCCTACATCATATCTGATAACGTGATATCTAGCATAATCGAATCAATATGCTATTGTTATGTTTTTGCGGCCTATCAATCATTTGTAGGCTATTTAAATCCAGCACATATTTCTTAGATTGTAAGACGCATTCGGAGATAATTGTTTAATGGTACAAGTCCTAAAAGTTAATCCATAGCTGAGAAGAGAATTGGTCGATTCATAAAGGTATTTGCGCAAAAGCGAATATAAAGATTTCGACTGGAATCAAACTTTGACTGTCGATTTCCTATTCAGAGCTGTTATCCATCATACCGTCCGTATTCCAAGCTTACCGCTTACCTTGCCAACTTGCTAACTGTTCACTTATCTACGTTCCGACAAGGTTGGACATTGCTTAACTTTGGTGATTGTACCAGAACTAATATTTCCACGTGATACGGTCGTAAGCCGGAATCAATATGCTAATAAAATACAGAGGTATACTGTAAATTTGAATAAAAGGTAAAGAAATGAAAAAACAATGGAAGTTGTTTGGAACAAGCAAGTTGATTGAACGCGTCTGCAAGTGAACTCCAGTAGAATCTAAATTATATATTTAGTGAAACTAATTTTGATCCATCAAATATGTGTCGTATAGGACTCATCCCAGATGATGGAGAACTGGATTTGCACTAGATATAACATCATGTAGTAGTATTGCTGAGGTAACCTGAGAAATAACTTCCTACCCTCATGCGTTTTACAGTATATCAATGGATGTTACTGACACGTAAACATATGGTAAACCCCACTGAACCTGCGAAACACTATATCAAAGCTAGATACATAATATCCAACCTCAAAGGAAAAAAGACATATCCACAAGATAATATATGGTTCACGTTATATATATATATATATATATATATATATATATATATATATATATATATGTGTGTGTGTGTGTGTGTGTGTGTGTATGTTTCTGTGTGTGTATATATATATATATATATATATATATATATATATATATATAATAAAAAACAGACAACTTCAAGCGTCCATTGGTTATAATTTATTTCCCAGAGAATTTCTATTTCCCTTGCTTATCAGACCACACTTCCACACACACACACACACACATATATATATATATATATATATATATACATATATAATTATATTATATATATATATAAAGACTAATAGAAGACTCAACTAAGGCTATAGAGCCCAAACTACCCTATTATTTAACATTTATATAGGTGGGTGAGAACAGATGCTTTCATCCCTTTCTAGAGATAAACACAGAAAAAACGAATACTGAATTCGATCCTGTTTTACAAGAATACTAAAAATAATAATTTCTTAATCACGAAAAGAGATAATGAAAACAGGAGAAAAAACATGTATTTAAACAATTATTTTAGCGATGCTATACACAAAATGTATCACCTCATAAAAAGCAGTAACGTTACTAAGAAACAACGGCTTACAGTGTGTAGAAGAATTAAGAACAGAAACAATAATGATCGAGAAGAATAAAGAATATTCAGGAGGACATTAAATAATATTGACATTGCATTTAAATTTTTGTAGATTAAAGTTGGCTGGGAATCTTGTAACCGGAAGAAAGTTTCATAAGCGAGAAATCCGCGAAAAGTAACTGATGAGATCTCGACACCAGTCTAGTACTGCGTTTAAATATAAAAAAAAATGCTAGGTACCATAGCAAAGAGCTCATCTAAACAAATACCGTGAAAGTATTAATAGAAAGTACAGAGAGATGCAACCTTACGGCGGTGGGAAAATGACTGCAACCCAGCCGCCAAATCAGGGCCAGTAATATTGCTGATACTTTTTTGGATTTTATCTAGATATATAGCAGTTGCACCGGACCATGTATGTCAGCAATACTCTAAATATTATATTAAGTTACACGCAAATACCCTTGGGAAAGGCATGAATCCACAACATCACTACCATGTTATGGGTTAATTAATAAGACCTTTTTAACTAAACCATTATTATCTAAAAAAAAAGTCATACAGTCAAAATAGGTGGAGATTATAAATCCATCCAATTAACATAGATCGTCGCCACGGCTACCATTGTTAATACCAAAACCATCTTTACTATTATTATAATTACACTCATCATTAGTGAATTTTTAACCACCGACTTCACCCTTATTCGAAGGCTGTCTGCGTTATTTTGTTTTAATTAATATAGCTTTCATGATAGTACTCTTATTAGCATTCTCGACATACCATCATCCATACCATTGCTCTTTAATCATTTATACACCACTAAAAAGAAAATCAGCGACACCGCCGCCGCCGCCGCCGCCGCCGCCGCCGCCGCCGCCGCCGCCACCACCACTGGCATGTCTGTTTTAAGATCATATCCGCCACAATGTCTAGCGTCATCCCTTTCCCTTCGAATCCAGTGCTAAAGGCGAAGTCTCTCAAACAACCGTGCCATTAACATCAATGGCACTGCATTTCAAAAATATCAGCGATTTTAGAACGCGCACTATATGACGCGTGCCTTTTGCTTAGTCAGCCAAAATCGCCGGAGATAAATTCTGCACTTGGGAACCTTCCGATGTTGATTTTACTGCTAATTCCAATTCTCTCATTACAGACAATACCATATTTATAGGGACAAATGCAACTACTTTGAATAATGATACTATTACTACTACTACAAACAATAATAATAAGAAGAAGAAGACGAAGAAGAAGAAGAAGAAGAGGGGGAGGAGGAAGAAGAAGAAGAGGGGGAGGAGGAAGAAGAGGAGGAGGAGGAGGAGGAAGAAGAAGAAGAAGAGGGGGAGGAGGAGGAGGAAGAAGTGGAGGAAGAAGAAGAAGAAGAGGGGGAGGAGGAAGAAGAAGAATAGGAGGAGGAGGAAGAAGAAGAGGAGGAGGAGGAGGAGGAAGAAGAAGAAGAAGAGGGGGAGGAGGAAAAGAAGAAGAAGAAACCAAGAATTGTAATTTATGACAACAGCAAATAAAAACTGCTTTTTAATAGATATGGCAGTATTATCAGATGTACATGTTAATTAAACAAGTAAATGTAAGAATCTGGAAATTAAAATTGAATAAAAAATTTAAAAAAAAAAACTACTGTTGATGTTTAGATTTTTGTATCCTATCAAAAAGAATACAGACAAAAACAGAAACAAAAAAAAATAGACGGGGGCTCTTATTTTAAAGAGATTTAAAAATTGGAACTGCTTAATCAATTTAGGGGAGTATTATAAATGTAAACAAAATTAAACATGTTATTTATCATGTAAGGTCAGAACTTGTACGAACAGAAAACTTTTATTTACAGCCTTATTATATGTTTTGGTCCTGGACTGGCTCACTAAGTGATTTTACTCAATAGAAAGCAGATGAACATAATAATAATAATAATAATAATAATAATAATAATAATAATGGTGATGATATGATAAAGTTAACACTCATTGATGTTTACGAGCATCTGGTCTAAAGGCTGAAAGGGAAGGCTTTATTCTTGCAGCGGAAGACCAGAGTCTTTTTCATTTCGAAATTTCAGGCAAATGTCATCCATAATAATGTGGATATAAAATGCAAGTTCTGTGACAAATATCAGGAAACCATAGGCCACTCATCTCAGGACGTTATGTACCTGCGTCAAATGAATATAAAAATCGTCATGATAGAGTGGGACATTAATTACACTGGACAATTTGTAAGCCCTTTGGATATGACGTTAATAAACACTGGCATGAACATCACCAAGAAATGGTTACAGAAATAGAGGATATCACAACTCTATTGGATTACAGCAGCTTTACAGTCAGGAAGATTGAAGGAAATAGGCCTGTCAAAAATGTCAAAAACCGAAAAGAAAAAAAAACAAAAAAACAAAGTTAACTACTAATTGATACATCACACTGTAACATAGGAGCCAAGGAATTTGAAAAACTATCGAAGTATAAAAAATGGAAATGGAAATCGAAAATATGTGAAATTAGAAAACAAGAATAGTACCAGTCATAGTAGGTGCGCTTGGAACGATAAAAAGGAACACAAAAACACATTGAAAATATCTCTGGACATCCCAGCTTAAAATAAAATCAAAAAAATGTCTTGATAAGTACAGCCTACACACCAAGAAGTATTTTGTCCATGTAGCGCTAATGATATCATTATAGTTAGAAAAAAATCATGAAATGTAGTCATACCAACATATCACAACCTGCCTTAGGTCTTCCCACAGACTTGGTAGGTTGTATGGGTTAAAAGTTCTTAAAGTTATTTGAATAAGTTAACACAAGAAAGTCAATTGGAAATCGACCTTGAGGTGGCGTAATGGTCAGCGGCATGAAATGAGAAATCTTAAAATAAGTTTTCTCTTTCTGTGTCTAATTTTTCAGTGTCAGTATCTGAAGAGGCGTTTTTTCCTTCTCTATAAAAATATTTTTTTTCACTGTTTTTCTCTTTTTTTATTATTATTTATATTTCTTCCTGTTTTTTATTAGCCTTTCTTTTTTAACTCACTTTCGGATATTTTATATCGAAATGATTTTTCTTCAATCGCTCTATTCAGCAACATTTTGCTACATGCGTCCTTTTTTTTAAAATGATGTTTTCTATGGAAAAATATTTGAATAATTCTAACCCATATTTTTTACTTATTTTATTTTTCTTTTATATTTTTTCTCGCTTCAGTCTTTACTATCAAATGCTTCCGCGCAATGTTTTCTTTCTTTTCCCCTTTGTTTTCGTATTCTTTCTCTTTTCTTTCATTTTATAATACCTCCTCTTTCGGTTTCACTTATCTTCTATTTAACCCATTTAATTCCTCCTCCTCGATCTTCTTCTTCTTCTTCTTCTTCTTCTTCTTCTTCTTCTTCTGATGCTGATTTTCTTTTTCGTAACCTTCTTCTTTTTCTCAATCTCCCCCTCCTACTACTCTTTTTTCTACTACATTTTTTTCTTCTTTTCCTCCTCCTCCTTCTCTTCCTTCTTTCTTCTTCCTATTCTTTTTCTCGACCTCCTCATTCTCCTTTATACTTCTTGTTCTTGTTCTTCTGCTCCGCCTTCTTCGCTTCTTTTTATATACCTCCTCCTTCTTGTCTTCTTTTTCTCAGCTTCCTCCTTCTCCCCGTTCTTCTTTTCGTTCTACTTCTCCTCCTCCTCCTTCTCTTCTTTTTTCAAAATCCTCCTCCTCCTCCTCCTTCTTCTTCTTCTTTACTCCAAAATATTTAAGTAAATTTATCATATTTTCTTTCATTTCCTTAACTTTCATCCTGTTTCTTTTTCTTTTCGAAAATTTGCAAATCCATCAATATATTTTATTATTTACTTTCTCGTTCTTTTTTTTTTCTGTCATCTTCTTTCCTAATATATAATATAACAACTATTTCTGTCAGGTAGAAGGCCCCAAGAATAAGAACCTCCATTGACAAGTGAACTTGTGTTTAATAGCCTTTAAGATCTAATTCTTAATTATATCGACATGCTGAGCAACATCAAACACAATTACATTTTTTTCTAGATTTCGGCCACGTTTTTGTCTTCTTTTTTCTGCATTCATTTTAATTCACCATTATTTGGTTCAATACCAGTCTCGAAATATTTTCTTCCATTATTCTAGGCATATTTTTCTTCAAAATGAGTCTTACATATCCTTTACACAAGTAACCTAAAATATTATCCTTCAATGTTATTTTCTTTGTTTCAAATTGTATTTTCTATCTTTACTTTTCTTATTTGTAAAATTTCATATAATTCTTTTCTTTCCGCCTTGTAATATATTTTGACTTCATTTTGTATTTTTTGTTACGATATTTTTCTTATATTTACCATCCTTCAATCATTAATGGCCATTATATTTCCTCTGCTTTAGTTTCAAATCTTATTCTCTTAAATAAATATATTGACACTATTTACATTATTCGGTCTGTCCTCATCTTTTTCGCCATATTTATTACATCATTCGGCCTTCTTCAGGTGGTTGGAATGTTGAACTGAACCCTTCATTTCACTCAATGGGGTAGACTGTTCTAGTTCCACGTGCCATGTCAGTTATCTCTTGTTAATTCCCCTCTCCAAGTACTCTGCCATGACCGGGTACTGAACTCACACTCTTTGGGACCTATGGATCTATCTAACGCCTTTATCAACTGTGCCATATGTCCTTGATGACATCTGTGTATGAATTTCTGGGTATTATAAACCTAATGTCTTCAGCCACAGCTTTTTAACAGTTCTCATATTGCAATTTTAGTTGTTATCTTATATGTTTTTACCAGAGCTCATATTGCAATTTTTGTTGTTGTTATCGCTTTTCCCTGGCAACCCTTATTACTAGTTCCCATATTTTATTCATTGCTATGCTTGGTAGGTTTATAATACCCAGAAATTCAAAAGTCCGAATGACGTAAATAGTGTACATAATAACTCATCTCAGAAATATAGAGGGATACTGAAATATATTGACGTTCCCCACTACTTCAAATAAAAGGTTAAAAGAAAAACACCATCAATACTAGAAAGAACTATAACAGCTACTGGGCTTGAGAAATCTATTTACTTGAAAAATTGTTTAAAGAGAAAGTGTTTATAACCGAAATCAGTACCGGCTGCTCGGTCAATGAATGCCAAATGTTTACTTCTAAGGAAACGATTTATATCACCATTACCATTACCAGATTCATGTTTCTATCATTATCTTGGTTAATCATTTCTTTTCCAATTATTTTTCTACATTATTCGGACTGTTATTCTCATCTTCATCACCATATTCAGATTTCGGTCGTTCTACGCTCTGACCTTCTTCATTTGATTGGAATTTCGAACAGAACCCTTGATTTCATCCACCGAGGTAGACTGTTCTAGTTCCACGTGCCATGCCTCTTCCAGATGTCTCAGTTATTTCCCTTTAACTCAACTACCCATTTTTTTGCTGTGACTTGGTATTGAAATCACATTTCTTTGGGTCTATTAACTGGATCTAAACAACGTCTTTATATACAGGGCCATGTCTAAAGGGCTCTGTTCGAAATTCCAATCACCTGAAGAAGGCCGAGTGAACAACGGCCGATATTTTGTGAATATGCCAATGAAGATGATGATAACAGTCCGAATCACGTAAATAATGCAAGTAATCATAATACCTTCTCAGAGATATAGACTGATACTGAAGAAAATTTCCAATCAATTGAAGAATGCCGGATCGTAGAACGGTTGATATTTTGTGAATATGGCAATGAACATGAAGATAACAGCCCGAATCACGTAAAAAATGCAAGAAATCATAATATCTCATCTCAGAGATATAGACAATTATTTTTCTTTTGATTTTTTTCTCATTATCATTTTTTTTTTTTCATTTTGCCCGCTCATTTTTTTTCTTCGTTTGTTTTTTTTATCTGTTCTGTGTTTTTGTTCTTTAAAAGTGCCAAGTCACCATTTTTTTATACTGAGTCATTTCTACTGTTTTGTTACCATCCGTTACTTCTTTTCTATTTCCTTTCTTTAAAACATTTTTCTCTTTCTTTTCTTTAAAAGCTTTTCTCTTTCTTTTTTTCACACTCTCTCTAATTCTCCCTATTCTCCCTTATTTCTTTCCAACCCCAACATGACATCACCAATCTCCGCCATTTACATTTATTCACTTCTTTTTTCTGCTTCTTACCTCTCTGAATTCTGTTCCCCTTAAACCACATGTTTTCAGGTTTGACATGAACATTCGCCGTTTCATTTTTTTCCTATCAATGTTGCCTCTATTTTTTTTTTTTCATTTCGTGCTATATTTCCCTTTGTTTTTGTTGATGGAAATCCCCTTTGAGGAGATAAGAATATTCTTCAATGCAATAGAAAAATCTGTGTCAGCTGTTTAATCGGTGACAAATTATTTTAATATTAATTTCTAGCGGGTTTCTCTTCACACGAATAAGAGATTTTATATCTGAATAAAAAAGTGCATGGATTCAATTTCCATTTTCCCTTTTATTTTGTATTTCATTAGCCACGGAGTCACCGAATTATCTGTACATACATACATGATACCTACGTAAATAGAGACACACACATATATATATATATATATATATATATATATATATATATATATATATATATATATGTAGAGATAGATAGATAGATAGATAGATAGATAGATAGATAGATAGATAACGAAATACTGGAGTTGAATTGCTGAAGGTAACATCAATCAGCTAAGTGACAAACCAATGACTTATATTATTTCTCTCTCTCTCTGTATATATATATATATATATATATATATATATATATATATATATATCATGCTTGTTTCTTGTCAATGCACTTGGAGATACTTATATTATTTCTAATATTAAAACCTATTTTTACACTTTCATAGTGTTTTGACCTCAGTTTGGGGGTTAACTATTTACCTATAGCTGGGAGTCTAACAGGTGCTACCACCCCAAGTCAGGGTGGTTCCTGGGAACACCAGCAATTAAGAGGTGGTTCCGCACTCATCAAAACCTCCTGTTCAAAGGCCTTGCTGCTGGATGTAGTTTATCGTCTTACCCAGGACATATTTGAGTAGAGACTGAAACAAATAGTCATCCGATAAATTGCTGAGAGATAATTTCTAGAATTTATGATGATTCTGAATAAGGTGCTTCAAACTGAAAATATATATATATATATATATATATATATATATATATATATATATATATATATATATATATATATATTGTCATTCCGTCATAAGCAATGATCATTATGTATCTAATAGGATTCTGTAAATTCCAAGCCTGTAATAATGATACAGTAGAATATCTCATATGCGGAATCCCTCATGTTCGGAGTGTCTCATGACCGGAATCCCGCATAACCGTACATGATTTTGATGTGTATATTCGAAATATTTGTGATATGTAACTGTTTTGAAATTCTGTTTTTTTTTTCAGGAAATTTACTTTGAATAATTGCTTATGCTTATTTTACCTTAATGGCTTGTATTGGTGCAAAAGATGATAGAAATAAGGATGACAACGAGACACATCTGCAACAAGATAGCGACGAGATGAATGAAAACTGGACTAATATTGAAAAAGCTAATGAAAAGCTTGTCAGTTTTATGGAAGGAAAACCAACATTCAGCTATGACGATTGCAATAAAGCACGCAGCGTTAAAAAGTGTCTTTCGGTTAAAAAAAAAATTCAAGAAAAAAAGCAAAATGAAATGCGGAAGAATGCATTATAAGAGACAGCGATTAAAAATTCTCGTTACATTATTTGTTTTGCATACGTGGCATACTTAATTTAATGAATTTTCATTTACATTACATAATTTATTTATTTATCCTTAAAATCAGTTCCGTTATATTTAACTCACCATTAGCAATTTTTTTTTTACTATAAAACATTGAAAACAAATGTGAAACCTGATTTCATTTTTTTTTCATTTTAATCTATATATCACCCCTCATATACGGACTTTGTAACCAATTCTTCAAATTAGGAATTTCTTCTTAGTTCGGAATTTAATACTGTAATAAGATCATAACTTGTATCTTAATTCTTGATAGGATTGATCAAAATATATCACTTATTATAACTTGTCACAAGATTACTTACATTTACATATAACTTTATAGTTTAAAGCCGATGCATGTATCTTTCCAAAGGTAATGTCAAAAATGCCATTACTATTAAAGTCTTCCTACTGCTTCTTTTCTCATTGCATGAAACATGCCATTTTTTAGAGTCAAAGAAGAGTAGGTTTTTTTTTTTTTGTTAGTCTAACCAACAACTATAATGAGAAGTAGAAAAATGGGTAAAGAAGATATTAATTTCCAAGACGATACAAAGGGAAACTGCTGGTTTACTGAAAAACCTTTACAATTAATATTTGCCGACTAAATCTCAAGTGATGTTAAAAATGCGGTTGGAATTCCCGGACAGGTGAAACGCTGATATGACGTCCGTTACTTTTTGGGTTTGTTAAAACAAGCATAAAACTGACAATATTAGCCTGCAAGAATGGAAGGTGCACTGAATCGCCCTCCTGGTATCTGTTCTTTTTATGCGACATGCGCCCAGAGAAGCGTGTATCAGTGTTTTGAACATGAAATTATTTCTGATTGTTCATTGCATTTTGTGTCGTCCATGCGCACATTTTTTTTTTCTGATTCTTCATTTGTTGAAGTCATTGTCATTTTATATGCGGACCGGATTTCTTCATATTTTCTTGTCTGTCATCTGCTGCATATTCATCGGCATTTTCTTGAAAGTTAGCTATCTTTTTCTTCACTGTAGAAATATTTTTTCTCTGTATTCTTTATTTTAAATTTCTCTTTTTAGCTATCTGTCAACCGTTCATAAAATCCATCTTCTTCTTCTTCTTCTCCTTCTTCTTCTTCTTCTTCTTCTTCTTATTATTATTATTATTATTATTATTATTTATTTTATTTGTTGTTTCTTACTTTGTTCATGTTTTTTTTAAATATACATTTTTTCATCTGTCCTTTACATTCATTTATTTCAAGATTCATTTTTGTAGCATTTTATTCTATTGAATTCGATGATTTTCTTTATTAGCTTTGTTTTCTTCATATTATCATACACCAGTGTTTATAAAATGTATTTATATATTTAGTGTGTATTTCATGTACACCCTAAACATGATCCTCGAATCGTCTATATAATTAATATTAGTATTATTAGTAGTAGCAGTATTAGCAGTAGTAGCAGTATTATTATTATTAGTAGTAGTAGTAGTAATAGTAGTAGTATTAGTTGTAGTAGTAGCAGTAAGTGGTGGTGGTGGTGGTAGGGGTGGTGATCGTTGTTCATTGTTATTCAGCGGCCTCTTCATTGTCAGATATTATAATATCGAATGGATACTTTTTTTGTGGGGCTGGGTCTGGTAACTTTTACGTACTTTTTAAACCCAATAATGTCCATCATAATATCCGCTGTTAACGAAATGTAAAAAACGGTATTCATTATAGGCTGATAAAAATAAATCCATTGTTTAAGCCATTCTGCTGTTTTCTATACGTTCCATTCCCCGTCTGGACGAGGGTGTTCATGGCTCCCACCCCCCACACACTTACTTTTTGTAGATCTCAGTAAGGTTTGTTATTTTCCCCTTCACTCCTCGTCCCTCCTCCATCATCCATTTACACACGCTCGTTAGGTAGGTTACGCGCTGTATTCTTTTGCACCTATAGATTTTAATATGTTCCCATGAATGGTAAATTTTTCAAGCAATCTTTCCTCATCATGCGTTCTAGGAATATCACCTGTTTTTTTTTTATTTTTGTTATTTTAAGTATGAGCGTACTATTTGTTTCCATTTTCCTATGACGTTATTTATATATTCAATCTTTAGTATTCTCAGCATCCCCTGTAGAGTCACATTTCTGTTTTATCGACTTTTCTCCAAGTGTAATCAGATTGTCTAGCATTAATTGCTATATATAAGGGCCGATATTTCATAACATTTCAGCACGCTTTTTTTTGTTTCTAATGAAATTTATTCGTACATTTATACTTTGCTGAGATTTTTGAAAGCATCTTTTGCTCTTCCAAATAAGCCTTCTTACTTTGGTGTCATGCTGTCCGTCCTTTATTTAAAATACATCCAGATACTTAAATTTTCGTACTTCTTTTATTTTCATATCTCTGATTCTTCTTTCATATTTTGGGCTATTCGTCCATGCTGATAACAATGCTATTTACCCTTTTCTTCTCTCCTTCTTTTACAATCGTTTTTAGGAGATTCTGCTGTTTTCATTGTGTCTGCTATCAACGCTGTTTCATCTGAATATCTTATGATGCTGTTAACGTTATGACTCCCAATAATAAACCCTGTTTAATTTTTATTTTTTTGTGCTGTGTCTATTCAGGATGGAGGCAAACATGGCTGTCCACTTCTCCCTATCTCTGGTAGCTCTCAGTAAGCTTCGTCCCTCTGACACCCCCGACCTCCACGTTGCTTAAGCCCGCTTGGTATGTCATGCGTTGCTTTCCCTTGTCTCTCTCTCTCTCCCCCTCTATTCGACCTGTGAGTACCAAGTTTTCCAGGCGCTCCTTTCTCATTACATGTCACAGAAATTGCATCCGCCTTTTCCTGATGTTAAGTATAAGCCTCCTCCTTGTTTGTATCCTTTCCAAAACCTCATCGTTGCTAACACGCTCGGTACCTGATATTCTCAACATCTTTCTGTAGAAGCTTATCTCCATTACCTCGAGGCTCTTTTTCATCTTTGAGGAGACCGTTCAAAATTCGCTGCCGTGAAGGAGGACAGATGTCAGTACCTCCGTACTCTTTTCTTTGTTACTAAAGAAATCATCCTGTCTCGCAATACCCTGCCCAACTTTTTGAATGCGTCTCTCTATCTCTCTCTGGATAATATCACTATAACGATTGAATAAGTTCAGTGAGAAGATACATGTCTTACACCCGTTTTTATCTGCTTGCATTTACTGTATTTCCTTTCTATAGGTATACAAGCGGTTACAACCAAATTTCCAAAAATGAAATCGGGGGTATTAATGTCTTTAACTGCTTCTCAAAAGAGCTGCTGAATTGTAAATGTTTCGTTTAGTTTATTTTGTTTTACGGCATATCAACCTCAATGGCTTATTTAATGCCAACTACATTTTTAGGATAGATTTGTATGAATAGAATATGTATTCTTTG